GGTTTCTGCTGAGAAATCTGCGCTTAATCTAGTTTGCTTGCCTTTGTATGTTAGACTTCTCTTTTCCCTACCTGCTTTCAGGATTCTCTCCTTATCTTTGATTTTGGAGAGCTTGATTATTATATGTCTTGGTGATTGTCTTTTAGGGTCTATCCTTCCTGTGGTTCGTTGAGCTTCTTGAATGCTTATCTTTTCACTTTTCAAGATGTTAGGAAAACTTTCTTCCAGAAGCTCTTCAAGTATGTCCTCTGTGGACTTGTGTGTGATTGTTCCTGCCAATAATTCTTATGTTATTCCTCTTCATGTTATCCAAAATGAATCTTAAGCTTTCTTCAGATTTTTTTATCCTGTTTTGTGTTTGTTCTTCTATCTTAGTAGTATTGAAAGATTTATCTTCTAGCTCACTAGTTCTGGCTTCTATCTCTTCAACTCTACTCCTTTGACCTTTCAGTGTATTGTCCATTTCTGATATTCTATTACTAATCATTTGGATCTCTTTCTGTAGGTTTTGAATTGTTTCCAATGCTGTATCTATCTTATTTGATTGTTCCTGTAGCACTTTCCTGACGTCTTCCTTATTTTTCTCAACTCCATAATATAGTATTTTGATACATTTTATAATCATTTTTCTGAATTCCTTCTCCAGCATTTTCAAAGCCTGCCCATCTTCCAGTATGGAGTGTAGGTCTACTTCCAGCTCATTTGCCTCAGTCACTTTATCTTGTTTCTGGACATGGGCAGATATGGTCATCTCCTTCTGTTTTTTGGGCATATTCAGGGTTTATCTGTAGCCTTGATACTTAGATGGGTATGTATTTTGGTATTTTTTATGATTTCTGATTGCCTCCAGGTAGATGTGATCAGGACATGGGCTTCCCTTTTCACTCTTCTTCTTGAGAAATTTCAAGAAGCCACTATTGGTTGTTTTGACGTAGTTTAGGATTTAATTTTTGGCTCATTTCCTTTTTTGTCTGCTTGTCCCACTCCATAATCCCCGTTCAGGCCTTTTTTCTAGTTGTAAACAGTTCAGGGCCGGCTGTGGCTGTTTGGTTTTAATTGGAAACTGTCTCGTTAAATTTCGAGGAGATCTGTGCGCATGCGTAGTAGAATCCTCCGAGGGTGGGGCTGGGGTGCCCACTAGCTCAGGCACCCTTGTAGTCACCCGAATGGAGGTGAGTAGTCAGCAAGGGACCAATGAACAGCTACCAAAAGAGAAGACTGTCCACACCTTTATCTCTGAGGTTCTGCCAGGCGTCTGTGGCCACTCTGATCCTTCCTCAGCTTGGTCTCACTCAAGATGGCGGCTCCTCGAGCAGCTGAGCATCTTGAATTAGAAAGCAATGGATTTCTTGCTTCTGCCACAAATTCCCCCAGCTGTAAGCATTCCAACCTTCTAAATATTCCTTTATATGTGGTTCAGAGTTCTGGGACCCTCCCCTGAGCCTGTTTGGTCGGGTATTCTGTGTTATTGTTGGCAGAGCTCTAACTGCACTTCCACCAGATCCACCATCTTGTTTTTTCTCCTATTTTGTCTACTTTTGTTTGTGTAGTTTTCAAAACGTTTGGTAGTCTGTGTATGCCCTGAATTTAAGCCCTCACAATTGTCCCTATTTTTTCATTGATGACCTTCATAATTTTGGGATTCACATTTAGGTCTTTAATCTATGTTGAGTTGGGTTCTGTTTAGAAATATTTATAAAAGGGGGTTTTAGAATCCAAAATAAATGAAGGCTCAATCTATCTAGACCATTTTGTAAAAGGTCATAAACTAAACCTCTCAGACTTTGTGAGTCACAAGTACTCAGCTCTGCTTTGTGATGCAAAAGCAGCCATGTTGTTGTTGTTGTTGTTAAGTGTTGCCCTTGAGTAGGTTCTGACTCACAGTGACCTTGTATAGGGTTTCCAAGCAGCTGGTGGGGTAGAACCGCAGACCTTGTAGTCCAGTGCTTTATACCACAGTGCCACACCAGGTGTCCAATTGCAGCTATACAATAGGGAAGCAAATAGGTGTTGCTGTTTCCAATAACAGAAACAGGAGGCAGACTAGATTTGGTCATGGGCCTTAGTGGCCCTGCTAGGCCAACAGAACTTTCAGGGATGTTAGAAATGTTCTATATCTGCATGGTCCAATACAGTAATAATCCTAGCCATATGACTCATGACCTGGCTTTAATTGTATACATTCATAATTCATCTAAATGTTGGCAGTCACTGAAAGGGTGGGCCACTGCCCATTGTCAGCACCCACTGACATGAGCTTGTTAGAAATGCAGTGTCGTGGGTTTCTCACAGACCTACTGAATCAGAAGCTACCTTTTAGCAAGATCCTTAGGTGAGCCGTATGCACAGGACATTTGGAAAGGTTCTAGAAGCAGGACTGCAGCCCCAACTTTCTCTGCACTCAGTTCTGAGGTCTAATGGGTGAGAGACAGTGATTCCAAGCAGCTGGTTATGGGATCTGCTCCACAGACTCTCCACTGAAGGCAAACGCGTGCAGGGTGGGGTCAGGGGTCTGGTGTGGCTATAGGACAAGCCCCATTTTCCTGAATGGCTTTACAGGTAATTATAAGTGCAGGGCCAGCCTCCCCTCAGTGCCAGCAGAGATGACACACCACTTACCACCTTCAGAGCTCCAATGAACTCCTCCCGGGTGACCCTCAGGGGATCGCTCTGGCTCGGCTTGTTAAACATCTCCAGGATCTTGATCTTGTGGTTGCGCAGGTAGGAGTACAAGACTGACAGGGAGGTGGGCTTGGGCAGGTGGAGCAGCGGTACCAATTTTTGCCAAGCCTGAGACACTTTCTTCTGAAAGAACCAGATAGGTGACAGGCCAATGGAGTGCAGCCCCTAGAGCTACAGAGGAGGTTGCTTAAGTACTAAGCAAACAGTGGGATGGAGATGCAGCACCAAGAGCTCAGGCTAGGAGACTTTGCTTCTCTGAAACAAGAGGCTTGGCTAGCAGGAGAACTAAGATTTCATTCCAATCTCCACCTCTACCCTCAGAATCCTGGGGTGCTGGAGTGGCGCTGTTCAAACCCACCAGCTGCTCCCCAGAAACCCTATACAGGGTCACTATGAGTCAGAACCAACTCGACCAATGGCACTTAACCAGAACAACAATACATAATGAATTTACTTTCCTTTCAGAACCTCTGTTCCTGTAAGAAATAGAGTGAAGCATCCCCACCCTACTTTACCCAAGGGAATGAAACGGCAATATGCCCCTAAAACCCTCAGGGTCATCAGCTGGCTCACAGGGCTACTCACCTTGGAGACCTCTGTAGCAGCCAAGTGGGCAACTGCCTGGGTCTTGTGCTCCTTACAGATACTGTGTAAGACCTTGGCCTCCGAAGGTGTGTAGCTGGGCTTGTTCTTCAGCCACTTCTCCACGTTACCAAATGACTCCAGCTCCTCCCGAAGCTTCAGTCTCTGACTCAGCCAGGTCTTGGTGTCCAGTGGCTGATCTTGTATATCCTCCACTTCCAGGGCCTTGAAGCTGGGGATGGGCTGTGAGGGAGGCTGGGGCTGGGACTTGGGGTGGGTGGGCAGCTGCTCCTCTGTGCTCTGTGCAATGATGACCCGGCGGCGGCTCTGTGGCAAGTGGAAGTCCTCCTGCTTGAATTGCTTGAAGCAGTGGTCAATGATCAGCTCAGGATTGAAGGAGTTGCTCATACTGGAGCACACACTGTCTGCTGAGGCCTTATACTGGCAGAGGCCTGGAATGAAGAGGGTTAAAACATGAGTTCCTTTCAGAAAAAGGACAAGAAAAGATGCTTTAGTAGCAGCTTAGGCATCAACATGGAACCCAGAGTCTCTATCTGGTTTTGAACATTATCTTCTTGTCAAGATGAAGATAATAATGTGTAACATTTCCCAGTGAGGCAGGCACTGGGCCCTAGCTCTCAGAGTACACATATCACTCCAGGGAGAGAGTCCACATTCCAGGAGCTGAACAGTGAGGTAGGCACTGGGCCCCAGCTCCCAGAGTACACATCTCACTCCAGGGAGAGA